ACAACTTCTTAATCTAAAAATTTATTTCTTTGTGGAGTTTGTGATAATTTAAATGTAGAGGAATAGATAAGATAGAAGAATGCATTGAATAGCAGGTTAGCAGAGGCTTCATTTTTGATTCTAAAATGGATTTTTTTTTTTCCTGTTTAGGGAAGTTGCATAATCCAAGTCTTATGTGCTCTTTTGTCTAAGTATGCTAGCATTTGACTTCCTTAAGTCTGAGCAAAATGTTTTCAGAGTTTTCAGTTAATTCCTTAAAGTAATAGTATCAGCACAGCCAGTCAGTGCACTAGACGAACTTCAGTTCTGAGTGCTCAGGTCTTTGGTGTAGTTTGACAGGTCATTCTCCTTTTTCTTCTTCTGGACTTCAGATGGTTTTGTGCTGGAGTTCTTGTGTAATTTGTAATGTTTGCGTGCCTGAATGTGGACATTTGTAATATCTGCTGTTACGCCTGCCAAGTTTTTAAATCGAACTAGTAAACTGTGCCTCTTGTACTTCTCCTGGCTTGCAGAAAGTTTCCCAGTGTGTCCCATTGAAATTTCTCATTTATTTAAGATTTCTGAGGATAAGAAAATACTGGTGTGCATTTGCTTTAGCCTTAGCACTTTGGCTGGAACTTAATTTTATGTTAGTAGTGGAGAATACTTTTTTTTTTATTGGTATGTGAAGTTATTTTCATTGAAGGAATTCCAACTGCATTTTTATACAACAAAGATCGATCAAAACAGCTACAGTCTGTTTCACTTGAGTTGCTTTCATTTTGAAAGTAGTACTCTAATTTTTTTTTTAGTACTTTTTTTTTCTCTACTTGTCAGAGAAATTTCCAATTCTAACATGAAGTCTGTGTTTGAAATTTTTCTTCTACTTTGCTACTGTTCTGGAATTGCACTGGAGATTCCTGCATAGATAAGTTTGGAGATATGTATAATCAGAATGGAATTAGGGTTGAATTTTTTTTCAGGGAGCAGGTTCTGTGTTCCTGCTGTTTCAGTGCAAGTACAGAGGTGTCAGAGGAGCCACGTCACCCCGAGAGCTGGAGCATCAGCTGCAAAAGGTGTTGCAAGGTGGCAGGATAACCTTTGTCTGAAACTTGAACATTGTTCTATGGAGAAAATATTTTTGGAAGTGAAAGATGAGGATGAATTTATCTGCTTTTAGCTTAACAAAACTTAACTTTGAATTTTCAAAGCAAGAAATTAAGGAATATGCTGGACAGAGAGCTCTTTTTAGTCTGTGCTACCTCCAAGTTCTATAGCTTTCACAGAAAGTGGTATTTAAGTAACTGCAGTATGCAGTTTTTGGAAACTGTGTGTAATAAGTAAATGCATTTATTTTTTACATGTACTGTTTTTCTCCAGTGTATATTACTGATTAATACTGTTTACTCTATGCTAACTGTATTTAACACCTACCTGCTGAGTCATCTGATTTCTTGAACCCTACACTGTTCCCAGGAAGATGCATAAAGCACAAATTCTAGTTTTTATAAGAAGAGCTCCAGGATGGTGAGGATGCTGTTAATTTTGCTACAGCGTTCTGTTGTATTTTTTGTATAAAATCACTGTGGGGCTGTTGACAAATATTCCCGTCTTCCTTGTTATCATTTTAACTTTTTGTTGATTTCCTCTAGCTTTTGTCACTAGTTTTTTTTTTTAACTCAATTTTTTATTTCCTTTCCTTACACAATCTTAAAATTTCTTTATGTAGATCTAACCCTATTTTTAGGCAACTGTTTGTTTTCCTTCTGAGCTGAAAGAAGTATCTTTGTCAAAGGTGACATTTAGTTGCTGAGCTGTTCAATGTTTATAGTCCGGTATCTGTGATAGTATAATATGTTGCAATAGAGAAGGTTATGACCATGTTGGAGTATTTTGTATTTCTGAATCACTGTGTACTTCATATTAGGCTTATTAAAGATAATATTGTTGAAAGATTCAAAGTATTAAAATGAAAGTTTCATTAAAACCTGTGGAAATTCTTTTTTCCCCAAGATCTAGATCCTTGACCTAAAACATCCATTATCTAATTTTGTATTTATTTTTATTCTCAAAGTAATAAAACCATATTATTACTTTGGTTTTGCTCCTTGTTTCTGTCATCTAAGAAATAATTCTATCAAAGTTAGTGATAATCATTAAGTAGGAAAGATGTTGAATAATGCTACTAACTACCTTCTTTGCTGCAGAATACACAAACTTCCCCTTTTTAAATGTATGCAACTGTGAGGAAGTAGAGATCAGTTTGTGTTTCCTTCTCTGCATTGTCACATTTTGACATGTGCAACCTGTAGCAGGGAAGACCCTCATCTTCTGAAACCTTGTGCAGTGAAAAGATCTGTTGGGTAGCCTGCACTGCTGATAACTTGCATGTACCCCAATGAGAAATAAATGGCTTCTCAGGATCTCACTTCTCTTAAGAGTGTAAGAGCTGTAGTAGGGGAAGCAGATGGTGGGTTACAGGAAATAGAAGGAATTGCTGCAGAAATTGTGTGGGTTAAACTTTTCAGGCTATTGCCCAGTAGCTCTTCATGTGTCACAGCTCTCTTTACTAGTAACCCACAGGTTAGAGTCACACTTAAAAATACAGCACTTGCTGAGAAGGGCACCGAGAGACACTTTTGGTCTCTGTGTAGTTGCTATTTTTGTTTCTCTCAGTATGACTGGAGTTTTAAATGACCTTAAAAAAAATTCCTTATATAGATTGCTGTTACAGGTGAAGTATTGATAAAAATAACTTGGTATCAGAATAGGTTAATAAATTTACAAATCAAGATGTGCTATCTAAAAAAAACCAAAAAAACCCAAAACCTGCTGCCATCCCAGAGATAGGTTGAGTAAGAAGTGAGTTGATCTACTAGAGGGATAATTTTTGGGTTTATATTCAGTGGATTTTGTTCCTTCTCTCTCTTTTTCCAAATTGTTAATTACAAGAAAGAAGGATGTTATTTTATTTGGGGAGAATAGCATCAGAATCCAGGTGTGTGTATTTTTTTTTTAAACATAAATGAAAACTACGGTAGGATGAGAAGATTAATTTCAATTCTATGGAGTATTTGTTCTGGACATAATTCAGTTTTTCTTCTGAAATTACGAAGAACAAGATGTGGACTTCTCTGTCATTGAACTAAATTTAAAAAGCTGTCTGCTTGCTTTATTTTAGGGCAGCAAGTAATGGTACATACTTCCATTTTCTGAGGCAAAAGCAGGTTCAGCAAAAAAGGGGGATTAACATCTGAGTTGTTTTTGAAGACATGGCTACTATGAAAGTTTGCAAAATGTTTTTCCTGTGAACTTCCGTAGAGGAAAAATTGCTTTCACCCCACCTCCCAAGTTACTGAAAGAGCTTTTCTTTTTATTTCTGAGATATATAACAGTGTGGGAATAACAGCCCCAGGCAAACTCCTTTCACTGACATCTTTAAAAGCACTTTGATAGGAAATACCATAGAAATCTTAAAAATTTGGCTAGGAATAGGCTTACGATGTAGTAGGTGATTCCATTCTAGTGAATGCATTGACAGGCTGCACTGCCTCTCTTTAATGATTGTTGTCTTAAAGAAGTGCCTGTAGTTAGCAAAATGAAAATTTAGTATGGTTTTGCAGTTATTCATCCTTGTTTTAGCTTTTCCCACGCTTTCAGATACAAAGTGTAGAAGTGTAATGGAGTTCTATGGAATAATCTATTCAGATTTTTAAAAACTGATGGCAATTAATACTATGCCAAATGTATATCTGTATGCAAATATAATTGCTATTGAATTACTTTCAGTTCTGCTATTCTCTTTGCCTATCTAAACCTATTTTTTTTTAAAGCTGTGAACTTAAAAATCAGTTCTTAGTGCTTTTAAAATAATACTGTTGCAATGTATCCTTTATAAAGGAGGATTTGGTATGACTTCAAAGTTTAGAGGTTTTGTATGTTGAAGTAATAGAAATCATGGTTTGTAACTTGGTTGGGTTATTTTTGTGTGTGGGTGTGTTTTTTGTTTTTTTTTTTTCCCCTTCCTCTTGTAATGCTGTCTAACCTGATAAAAATTGGTAAGCAGTTTGTCCCTTTTCCTGTTCTTAACTCTTACAAGGCAGTATACCGAGTTACCGAGGAAACCATACTACACCTAGCTTTTGACAAGACTTTGGATATTTTTTTTTTTAGTCAGTGGGATAAACCAGATGTTATTTCTTTTCCTTTATTGTTATGCTGCTAATGGTATCCATTGCTTTACAGGGGTTGCTTGGGGTTTCAGGTTCAGACGCATGTAGTTCAAGCTTGTTACAATAAGATGCTTCAGAGAATAATATTTCTTACTCTTCAGAACAGTACTTGTCTGAACAGTCTGGAAGCAGATTTTATTGAACTTAGTGGGAACACTGCACCAACTCACCTGAGCTATGTTTTTGTGCAAGTTTTGTGTGTGTGTGTGTGTTTTTTTTTTCCCAGACATAATGGGTATATATGGGAGAATTAGTATTCCAGCAACATGTTGGCCTTTAATATTGCAGAAGTTGTCCAAAAAGTGCTAGTGTAGCTGTGTCAAATTTGGCGTTTTCAGTAGAAGAGAACTGTGTTTTCTTTCCTCCTTTTTTTCTGATGAACCTGTTGGATTGTGGACAAAAAATAGTCAGCACTGGCAGAGCTTACTTTAAGAAATTATCACTATAAACTTCAGAATTAATCTTTTTGTATTTTTCATGTGTCTCATTATAGAAAAAGAAGAATGTACCAAATAGTTTACATAAATTAAAACAGTTTTCACTATACATTAGACCCTTTTATTGCCTTAGGTAACAAGCTTATATAAAATTCATGCTAAATTTTTGACATGCTTGTTAAAATATTCCTGATTTGTAAGCATTGTTAAGGATCTTTTTATTGCATGTTGAAGCAGTAAGACACATACTACAGTGTGTTGTAGAGGGCAGACCATGGTATCTTAACTGTATATAACAAATTCTTCTGCTTAATGATTTATCTTATTTTTTTGTTTGTTTGTTTTTATTGTGGTTTATTTTATTTTAGGTTGGTTGGAGTACCGCAAGAGATTATTACACATTTCTTTGGTCACCTATGCCAGAAAATTATGTGGAAGGATCAACTGTTAACTGTGTGCTGACTTTTCAAGGTGAATATAAAGTAGTATCTATCTGTCTTTTCCAGCCTACACAACTTTTAAAATACTTACCTGTTCATTACAATGTTGAGGGTTCTATCACAGTTCTAGACTTTCAAAGACATTAATTGTAGGAGAACTTTCCACACCATGTTGTGTGAAGTTCAGTCTTAAATTTCAGATATCAAGGGAATTGTAAGGGGAAGCATATGGCCTAGTATGTTTTTACATGACAATGGACAACATTAATGACTGACAGAAAGAGAAGCTCTGCTGGAAACTAGTAAAATACAGACAGTGAGTTTGTTCAGTTATCAACACATTTTTTTAATCCTGGCATCTTTTCATGCATTGTGGCTTTATGTTGTCCTTAGTCTCTGAACTTTGAACACCTTTCTCAATGTCAAGTGATTCTTGTTGAAGAATGAATAATGTATATGATGGCTTGTTGAAGGTTCAGAGTAGTCAGGGAGTTGCAGAGGACTTTTTGACAGTGAGAAATTATGAAAATGATTGAAGATTTTAAAGAGACTAAAGAACAAACCCAAATGTTACACCACCACGGTACAAATCTATAGTATAACTGCATTTTCAACACTGCAGAGATCAGATCCTCTTCCTCCTTGTTGCAATATCAAAAAAAAAAAAATCTAGTAGAACAAAGGAACAAAGCCTAACAAGGAAGATCAAAATTAAGAAATAGCTTTTGTATAAAGGTGTGCAGTTACAAAGATGAGCGCCATGCTTTCTCATTAAATACGAAGAGGGACAGTGACCATGGATTGTGACCTGGGAGGTTTACATCTGACATTAGGAAGAACTTTTATACCAAGAGGAAGTAGTGCAGCACCCAACTCTCTGGTTTGGAAGGATGGGAATTCCACACAGTTGCTTAGACACAGTCACGATAGTCTCAGACCGGTGCTGACAACAGTCACTCGAGTGGGAAGTTGGACTAGGTGACCTTCAGAACTTCCTTCTGGCAGGTTTTTCAGCCTGGGAAAGGGAAACAGTGGGGAATGAGTGATGTCTGCAAAATCGGTGACCCGTGGCATGAGTGGATTCTCCATTGTTCATGTTTAAGGAAGTAAGGGCCATCAGTGTAAGCCATCAAGTGGCAGGTTCAAAACAGGGATAAAAATACTTGCTTAACAGTCAGTGTGCAGAACTTCTTGCCACAGGACAAGTGCCAAAAACCTACACACATTTAAAGTTGCGTATAAAAAGGGCAGCTCCCTTAAGCTTATTTAATGCTTTGCTGCTTACTTACAGAATTTTATGTACTGTCTTATGTTATATACACCATGTTATAGTAATTGAAGTCCTGAAATGACTAATCCTAGCTTGTTGTCTGCTTAAAGCTGCAGATACTAGCTGCAAGTAGTTGTAGCTTGGATGAGTTCACTGTTCTATCTCTTACACCAAATATTTTTTTTCAGTACTTTTGATGATGATCATGTACACATGATCTGACTATTTTATAAACTTGAAATCTGTGAAAAGTACATGTGCTCCCTAAGTATTGGGAGGAAATCAGTTTCTTTTACAGTTCCCAAAATTCACCGAGTGAATACCATTTAGTTGGACTAGAGTTAAAGGTGATCTAGAAACCTAGGACTGCACATGCCATTATCAGTCCTTTGTACTTAGTTTTACCACACATGAGGAGCCCAGGTAACTCCCATCTGTTACATTCCATGCTGACAGTCCTCTGCTTTTATAGAGCTGCCAGATTTCATGTCCATTCAGTCTCACAGCTGTGTTTGGCAAGATATTTTAGTGCTGCTGAGAAGAGATCAGTAGAGCTTAATTAACTAAGATAATGCCTGTTGTACAACATTTATTATTGAAATATTTTTTTTTAAGGATCAAGTAGGTGTGCTGGAAGAAAAAAAAAATGGGGAGTCTGTTCTCTTCAGTAGCTATTAGATAAAAAAAAGTCTTAAAGTACTTGTAGTATTGGTTCAGATATACCAATTTTAATACTTGATGGAGCTGTAAAGTAGATTGTTCTGAACGTGTTTCTGCATAGTGTTACCTTATTTAAGTGTTGAATCAGGTAAAGTGAGCTGCAGTGCTATACAGGAAACTGTAGTCAGGTCCAAAAGCACAGACTCCTGAGATTTCGAGATGAAGATGCTATTCCTTGAGCTGCAGTTTAAAAGTCTAATACAGACATGAAACGCATGATATAAGTGCTGCCCATATAGTACATGTAGTGTTTTACCATTTGTTGGGGTAGTAGCTAAGAGTACTAAGAAGTGTCTTCCAGCGATCTAGAATAAAAGTTGGTGAATAGAAGTTAATGATGAAGTTAGAAAAGGAGCAAGCTGAATTGTGGTGGAATATGAATAGGAATGGTGACATGACTTGCTGGATTGAACAGCGGGTGAGGATTGATTATATTAGGACCATACTCATGCTGGCTAGAGTATCTGATAGCTCAGTGTTCTGAATAGAACCAGTTAGTTTTCTTACCATACAACTTGGTAAGGTGCAATTTCTTGCATTTACTAATAAAGATAAAATTATCATTAGTTCTGGAAATTATTAATGTCCATAAATGCTACTGTATGAATCCAGGTGGTGGCAGAGGCTTGATGTTGAAGCTTTAGTGGGCAACAGTTCAATTGAGTAGTCACAGAGAAATTCTTCTGAAGTAATTTGTTAGCAGCATGCAGTATTACATAGTAACAAGAAAGATAATTTATTCTTACCTTGCAAAGTCTACAAGAAATTTTTTCTTCAGTTTAAAAAAATAAGCTCTTTGCTAAACTTCTCCCCTCCCACCCCATTCTTACTTGCAGATGGTTAACATTGTGTTATCCATTCAGAGCATTCCATTGCTTTGGCATTTAAAAATAGCAAAAGTAAATAGCTGTTACTTCACAAAAAAAATGCAAAAAATAAAAGAAACAAACTAGTAAAATTGCAGATGTCTTGTTGTGACATGTTATTCTGTTTTTGTCTGTTAACTTTGGTCATATAGGTGTTCCAAGCCCAAAACATTGTTTGCTGTTTGCTCTGTGATTGTACAAGTTACATAGTAACATAGCCCTGATTCAGCTTCAGGGCATCTCATTGCCAATTATTCTTTTCTCCATTTCATAAACATGTAAACAGCAGCTAATACCTAATGTATGTAAGGTGATGTATACATACAGTACCTATTACCTAACGTTGCTTTGGTGTTTGACTTGGAAAACAGAATGATGTTCCTTTCTGCTCTTTTAATAATTTACTTAGACCTTAGTGAGGTAGTGACCATGAAATTCATAAGTTGAACATGATACGATAATCTCTTTCTAGATGGAGACTTGTATGTTTTTGTAAATGTTTCTTTAAATATGATTTTGGTTTGATAGGGTATTATCTACCAAATGATGATGGAGAATTTTACCAGTTCTGTTACGTGACTTACAAAGGAGAAATCCGTGGAGCAAGCACACCTTTCCAGTTTCGTACCTCGTCCCCTGTTGAAGAATTGCTGACTATGGAAGACGAAGGAAACTCTGATATGTTAGTGGTGACCACGAAAGCTGGACTTCTTGAGGTTTGATGCAACAATTCTTAAAATGTTACTGTCTTATTTGTTGTTTTTTTGTACATACTTACTTACACACACATATACTTACATACACGCTCACATACGATACAGTATTGAAGAACAGACCAGGAGGAAAAACCCTACTTACATATGTGTAATGTTCATATTTCTTCCTTGTTCTCCAGTATTTGACTGGAGTTCAGAACATTTGCAGGTTAAATTAGTAAAGGTTTAAACAGGTTACCCGCATAGTATAGCACTAAACATAGACTGGGAAGCCGTAGGGGCGTCGATAGTTGCCCATGTCTCACATGTGTGGTCTCCAGCTAAGTGGAGGGCAAAAGATACTCTTGTGTAAAATGGTTCCCATTGTAGGGGATAAAAAAAAGCCAAGGAACCAATATACTGGTATTTGTGCACAAGTGAAGAGTGCTGGAAACGAAGCTAAATGGCTGTAGATGCCTGAGCATGTTAGTATAGCTCCTGTTTTATTTAAAGCTGACACAGTTTCCCACAGCATCCTCCTGGAGGAACTGACTGCTTGTGGCTTAGACAGGTATACTCTTCACTGGGTAGAAAAAACTGGCTGGATAGCCTGGCCCAAAGAGTGGTGGTGAATGGAGTAATATCCAGTTGGTGGCCAGTCACAAGTGGTGTTCCCCAGGGCTCAGTATTTGGGCCTGTTGTGTTTCATGATTTTATCAATGATCTTGACGAGAGGATCAAGGGCACCCTCAGTGAATTTGGATGTTACGAAGCTGGGCAAGAGTGTAGATATATTTGGGGGTAGGGAGGCTCTTCAGAGAAATCTGGACAGGCTGTGTCGATGAGCTGAATCCAGTGATATGAGCTTCAGCAAGACCCAAGTACCAGATCCTACACTTGGGTCATAACAACTCTAGGCAATGCTACAGCCTTGGGGAAGAGTGTCTGGAAAGCTGCCTGGCAGAAAGGACCTGGAGGTGACGATGGACAGTGGCCTGAACACAGACCAGCAGTGTGCCCAGGTGACTGAGAAGGCCAACAGCACCCTGGCTTGTGTCAGAAATAGCATAGCCAGCAGGACTAGGGAAGTGATTATGCCCCTCTAGTGGGCACTGGTGAGGCCACAGCTTGAATACTGGGCCCCTTGCTACAAGAGGGAAGTTGAGATGCTGGAGCCTGTCCGGAGAAGGGCAACTAAGTTAGTGAAGGGCCTAGGGCACAAGTCTTTTAATAAGTGGCTGGGGGAGCTGGGGCTGTTTAGCCTGGAGAAAAGGGGGCTCAGGGGAGACCTTTTTGCTCTCTGCAGATGTCTGAAGGGAGGTTGTGGTGATGTGGGAATTGGTAACTCCTGAGTAACTAGTGATAGGACAAAAGGAAATGGCCTCAAGCTGCACCAGGGGAGGTTTAGGTTGAATATTAGGAAAAATTTCTTCCCCAAAGGGATTGTAAAGCACTGGAACAGGCTGCAAAGGGTAGTAGTGGTGTTACAATCCCTGGAGGTATTTAAAAGACAAGTAGATGAGGTGCTTAGGGATGTGGTTTAGTGGTGGGCTTGGTAGTTACGTTAATGGTTTGACTTGATCTTGAAGGTCTTTTCCAACCAAAACTATGTTCTTTGCTAGGTGGGTGTGGTTAGTCTTGTCTGTGTACATCCAGAGCCAAGATGGTTCTGCTTGTTTCACCATCAGACTTGCTTGTGCTATCAGACATTTTATCGTTTTGTCAGTTGCCCCTAGGCACGCATGCATGATTTGTAAAACTCTGTGATAAGACACTTAGTACTGAGATACGTCTGGGATACTTTTGCTTTTTAGGTATGTACCCACAGTACTAAAATGAAAGGATTTTTTCAAAACCCTTTGATTATCCTGATTCATGTGCTAGTCCTTACTTTTGGCTATGTGTGCATTCATTTTTTTTGGTGAAATTCTTCAAATGTTGCTTTAGAGTGTGTGTCTACATTCAGCAGCCACTTTTTCACCAAGCTGTCACCATCATAATTAGCTCCTCCATAGTTGCTGTCACTTGGGAAAAGTAAAGGCACTTCAATAAGTTAAGACAGTGCAGTGTGTGCTTTCTAATGAGGATGTAGTACTGTTCAGTTAGAGCAGTGAAACTTCAGAAATTTGAGAATGAGGAGAAAACTGTAAAATAACCTAGCACATTTTGTGCTTCTGCTCAAACACTGGAGTGATTTGTCATCCACTTACTTGATAGGAATGAAGGGGAGAAAAATTACCAAAAAAAGAATGTTTTTTTTTTTTTACAGTTTAAAATTGAAAAAATAATAAAAGAGAAAGAAGAGCTATTAAAAGTAACTTCTGTCCTGGAAAAGGAAGCAGCACAACTCAGAGACCAAGTTGAAAGACTGGAAAAAGAACTTAACCTTGAAAAGCAGAGATGTGACCAGCTGCAAACAGAGCAAAAGGTTAGTTGTTTAACTGATTAAAGCTGATTCAGTGTCTGTAATCCTCCTTTCTCAAGAAGCAGTTAAACTGTGAAAATCAGCTATCAAAACCCCTCAGCAGTTAGATAGACATTTACGCTACAATAGGTCAGTTCCTATTAACCTCCTGCCACTATTCCTTTTATGTCGTAAAATGGTTAAAATATTTAAGGCTTTTTGTACCAAGCTTGGTAAGATAATCAATGACAACTGTTAGCAGATGTTTCACATTTAACTGTGGAATTCATAGTGGAAAGCAGTGGATAGTTTCAAGTTGGCTTAGATTAACTTACAGTGGAGGAAAGTTTTTTTTAAAAAAAAAACTCCCATTAAGGAATAACTACATAGAATACAGGGTATTGAAAATGTTAAAATTTTGGGTATTAAAAACAAAGATAAAGACTTCATAGAGAGTGCTTTACCAGGGCATGTAAAGAGTGAAAAGTAACTAGTCATTTCTCTAAAAGGTTTCACAAAGGTCTGAAGATTTTCAAAGGGAAAAGAAGCACAAACCTAATAATCAATTCACATTAACTGATAGTGAAAATATAAATCTAGACTAAAGCAACGCAAGCTTCATTTGGAATTCTGCATATGCAAAGGTGGAAATCTAATATTATAAAAAAGGCACAAAAAAGTTACACCTCAACTGTTTTTGAGCTGCTGCTTTTTAAAAAACAACTTTTAAGAGGAGATTAAAAACATGTGGGAGGGAGGTGGTGACATGGACAAATTTGAAGTAATGGAGCCTATATAATTTAGCTGTGGACAGCAGTTAATAGGCTATTTCTAAGTACTAGTATGTATATGTCAACAGTTCATGATACACCTTTAATAGGAATTTGTTGATAGAAATTGAAACTATTGAAACATTGTTTACTTTTGCACAGTCATATTGAAGTGTATAAGGAAGAATGAGGAAAAAAGAAAGGATAAGGTCCTGTTTAGGAAAAAACCTTTTTCTCTAAAAGAATGGTTTTTAATTTCAAGTACATGGGAGAATTAGTTTAAATCAATGAGACAAGAAATAAATACTTCAAAGTGCACATTTTCGGGATTTGCAGAATTGTGAGTTCTTTGGATAAATATTTGTGAATAAATTAACTACATAGATAACTTCCTTTGGTACTGAGGTTTTCATTTAAGAAAATGATTGAAAGTAAACTGTCAGTTCTAATCCATGTTAGCTTTACGGTGCTGGTTAAGAACAATTTGTCAAATGGGATTTTGATGGCTGTACAACAAGGATACAGCCAGACTGTACAGGAACAAAAATGTCTTGATGCTTTCTTACATCTAGTTTTGAATTTCTAGATTTGAAAATAGCTTTGCCTTCAAGATAACAGAACTTAGCAATTAGAATTTTATTTCAGGAATATTTGTGTTGCTTTGTTTTTCTTATGTGGCCTTGAATTTTATTGTAGTAATGACGCAGTGTGAAGAACTTCTCACTTGTATTTAGCTGAGATACAAGTAGACATCTAATCTGAGGTTGATGTAGCTCTTCACCTGTATAGAATACTACAGAAGTTTTCTGACTCATGCAGTTTTTGTCTTTGAAGTGTTGACACTGTCTTTATGTGGCATCTTTTGTGTACTATTGTGTTTTACACTCGTGTAAAAAAAAATCTGCTAAGTTGAAAAATCCTTCATTTATTTTTATATGTAAGCAGAATATAAATGGAGTGTTACTCTTGAAAATGAAACAAGTGTCTACTAAGTCAGGTGCAATAAGTTAACTATTTCATCGTCAGAAAGTTTAATTAACACTAACTTATATGTAGCTTTCCTGTCTCAAAGATTCCTTCTTGCTCTTCTTGCCTCCCTACCTCAGTGCATGACGTACAGCTGGGTCAGGACATGATAAGTTATCTTTGCTGGGAACACGCATGGTGTGTTAATGGATTGATTTAAACACTGCAGCAGTTCTGCAGCACTTGTCTGGATTACAGTACCTAGATGCTGTTTCTTGTGGTTTGTTTAAAAAAGGAAACCCAACACCCTAACACACACACCTCAAACAGAAACCCAGATACCCAACAACAAAACAAAACAGAAAAATAAAAACAAAAAGACAAATCCCTGACCCAAATAAAACAACCCCACAAAAGACATGCCCTTCCCTCAAAGCCACCAAAATAATTCTTCAAAATCACTCCCGAGACACCCCTCCCTAGATAATCTAGACAGAGCTTCCTGTCGTGTGAATAATTGTTGTTGGCAGTAAACCTAAACAGTACATGAACTTGAGCATTTTTTAATATATGACTAGAAAGGATAACCTTGCATTGCTAAGTAATCAAAATATACTTGTATTTTATCTAACAGCAGAATCTTGGTGTGAGCTAGGTTTTTTTGGCTTGGCTTACTGTGTTCTTTTGCCTTGAAGTTACAGGATGGTTGTTTTAACTAAGTCTATGGGGTTTCTATTTTTTCTTCCTAGTGCTCCTTTGTCACATGCAGGTGAAGTTTTAGTTATGCTCTAAACTTTTGATACATAAAAAGACAAAGTGGAGTTGATGAACTTAAAATTTTTATTTTAAAAAATGTTTATCTTAAGGTTTTACTGTCTGGACTTCTATTAAAAAAAAAACCTTTTAATATACTTTAGAGCATATTAGGATAAAGAAAAAACATTAATAAACCACAGTAGCCTATGTAAGAAAATATAATTATTATGAACATGACAAACCATTAACTTTGTACTTTGAGGAACCTATAAATAATATAAATCTTCTATTACAAAAAAAAAGCTAAGCTACATTTAACCCGTGTATGATCTCTTAACAGCATACTATTTTTTCCTTTTTTGCTAATCCTTCCATCAAGAAATGCACATACAATATTTCTGCTTGTCCAAAGAGCCCTCTAAAAGAACCACAGTAGTAGAAAGAACTGTATTTAAAAAGCTGCAATTGCATGAGCAAAGGAAGTGGGTAGGTCTGTACAGACACATACATTTGATTCTAATTGAATGCAGAGCTCTTTATGCTGCTGACATATTGGCAACTACTATTTGTTTATTACTCTTTGTGTTGTGATAAGGGGGCTCTGCAGTTAAGAACCTCTTCATACAAAATACTTCTCAGTCTGCCCCTCTTCTAAAAATCTTTCTCAGTTTCTTCAGAATGAATAATATGGGTATCTGAGCTCATGTCTTTTGATCAATACATTACTGAGCTCCCATAGAATTTTATAATTGAATTGAACAGAATGTGGATGGTGTGGTTAGGGGTCACAGTACATAAGTCATCTTACTTTGATACAGTGTAACCAATAGATAGTAGATTAATGATGGAAAAGTTCGGAGTTAATAATATGAAGATGTTTTGTTAAAACAGTTTCCTAAAATCCCCTTTTTATTCATGTTTATTCATAGGCCTTTAGGCTACTTTCCTCTTTGGTATTGATTTTTTCAGTTCTTTGCTTTCATAAATGGCATCGTTGCGAAATGTCTGCAGAAACATTGGTTGCTTTCTATAGACAGGATAGCTGTAGACAGACAATGTCACAGCTGTATCCTGGGTAGTGTTTCCCTTCCACTCTTACTTGATCTCTTTTCCCTGCCCCAGTTACTCTCACAGAATTCTGGGCAGTCTAACTGTTGTTTTCTCTGTCTGCTTTTTGCCTAGTTGGGTTGCTTTGTAAGTGGCCCTTTAGTGGTTCTTTGGGGAAAATACTAGGAAGAAAACAGCTTAAAAGAGATCAGTCCTTTAAGAACATAACATACTACTAAACAATCTATTCAGGTGTCATACAATCAGTGTTCCACAAAGTTTGAACATGGGGCTCTGTGTGTGTTTTTAAGTGGTAAGAAGTTTCACATTCCTTCAGTTTTAAGAACAGGCAAGTTCAGCACTCTAAACCACTACTTGTCTCTAAGGCTTCTACTTTTTTAGGTTTGGGTTTGTTTTGTTTTTTTTTTTTTTTTTTAGCGTTTTATCCTATTGGAGTAAAAATCTGTATTTGTAATGTTTTCAACCCCTTAATGGTTCTACAGACACGATTTTCTCAGGTTGTCATTGCTGCGATCACAGGAAAAGAATATTTGCAAGATGGACAGCTCTGCACCAGTTGGTGTTTGAGCTCAGAGGGAGAGTGCTCTCCAGCCCTACTGCTGCTAGTGCACCCTTCATAGGTTATGAATATTACCATTAAGTTGTGTTTAAAACTTAAGATACTTTAGAACTTCAGATAAATTCAGCCTTTATGTATTTTGGGTTATCTTTTCCTCTTTTCTTATCCAGTGGCTGCTTGATGCAGCACGTGGTTGCTCAGACAAGATCAGTTTAGGGAGGATATAAGTGAATCTTTCGTTCTTCTTCTGTCTTTAGGAAGTCTTCTGGAAAGGCCTGTATTTTCGGTTACAGGAAAACAGTATTCTTCTGAAGCTTTTTTTTTTTTGAGAGTTAAATTATTCCTGGACTTTTTTTATTTTAGCTCGTAGAGTGTGAAGATTTAACTTAATCCTCTACTACTCTTTGGGAATTCAGTGTAAATGAGAAATTATTGAAAACATTTCGGAAGTGTCGCATCTTTTTCTTACAACCTGCTGTTAGTGTTTCAGAGCTAATTTGTTATTATTTGGATGATGTTCCATGATAGCATATTTTTATTTAGAATCGTGCTGTACATACAGCTTGCAACTCTACTAATATAACACTGTTAAAATATTGATGTAATTACTATGATTATTTTACTTAAGAAGATGACACATGATACATGGTTACCAGAACAGTTTCAGGTTGCTTTCAACATTCCACCTTTTCCTCTTGATTTCCTACTGAGATAACTTGTTCACTGGTACATACTGAAATATGGTGAGTCACATTATAAGCTGCTTTTATCTGAATATATTTTACTTTTCAAGAAATTGAAGAACATTGACTCAAAAACTTGGTGTTTTTATCAGGAAAATAATAGAAATATTTCTGCTTTCTATCTTATTCAATATGAATATAAAAATGCATACCCATGTAAAT